ACACAGAGCCTCCTGCCGTCAAGAGCACCCCCGACAATCAGAGCTTGCCCTCCCAACCAGCAGCCATGCGGGCTGTTTCCCAGGGATGCCCCTGATGTTCCAGCTCTCAGCTTTTAGGATGCAGGAGAAAGTAGCCCATGACAGAGAACTGGGCTGGGAAGGGGCCTGTGGGGTAGGACTCACATTGTTCCTCGGTGCGTTGGGCTGCACGGGGTCCTCGGCCGCCAGGGCGATGCTGCTCATGGCAATGACCATGAGGATGCACATCTCAAAGTAGCGCAGGTTCAAGATGTAATGGCACAGGCGGCGAAGGCTGTTGGGGACAGGTGGGCGTGCAGAGGTCCACTCAGACCACGGGCTTGCAAGCCCTTTCCTTCTGTACTCTCCTTATGCCACCTACCGCAGCCTGAGATCTCTGACTCCCAAAGGCCCACATCCAACAAAGAATCAAGCTCCTATGTCTGGAGGTCCTTTTGGGGGTCCTGGAACCCCAAGAGGGCAGGGAGCCCTCAGCCAGTGAAGATATTCACAGGCCCTATTTATAAGTTCCTATCATTCCCAAATGATCCTTTCGGAACATCTTGATTCCCAAGCTGAGTTGCAGAAACATTGTATGTGATTCTGTAGGAGATGAAAAAGTCCTGTGGTCAAATAAAGCTGGGCAATTCTGGGTGAAGTAAATTAAAAAAGAAAATTAACTAATTGAGTGACCTTAGGCAAGTAACTTATCCCACAGTACCTCAGTGTTTTCATCTGTGAAATGGCCATGTCAATAGTGCCAACCTTCCAGGAATGTGAAGATGGATCAAAAGAGCTTATATTTGCCTGGCACATTGGTAGGGGATCCACAGAGTAAAAGGCCTGAAATTATGAACTGCAAGCCTTATCAGAGCCTTTAATGTGCTAGTAGAATAATACTTAAGCCCTTAACCTCTTAAGTGGAGCTCATAATAAATAGGTCATTAGGTCGTGTGAAGGGCAGCAGGGCTCAGTGGTAAGGACAGGGATGCTGGAGTCAATCTCTCTGGACCAGCCCACCTGCTTGCTGCTAGAACCTCGGGGAGGTGACTTCACCTCTCTGGGCCTCAGTTTCTTCTGTCAAATGTGTATAAGCATAGTACCAACCCCACAAGATTATCATGAGATCGAAGGAAATTGAAAAGCACTCAGAACAGTGCCTGGCACTGAATGCCACATTTGAGTGTTTCTCTAGGAAAACAGATAACGTCAATTAAATAAAAAAGTTAATGTGCAGTGTGAATCTCCAAGAGGTAGACCAGAAAGGAGCGACTCCCTTGCTGGCTTATTTGACATGATTTTTCTTTGTCGAGAGGCCTTCTAAGGACTAGGGTTTCAAGAAACACCCTTTGGAAGAATGCCATTGTAGAACCACCTCTGAGTCACCATGACACACATGATAAATTTCTCCCCTAAATAATCCATCCTCCTCAAGGATGCCCAAGACAAAAACGCTATGGAGCTCAGAGACCATCTGCTTAGAAGACAAACCTTGTAAGCAGAGGTTAGGCGCAAGCGTTCAGGAACCAGGGCTGTCATGTATGGGTGTACAGGTTGTGCACTGCACAAGGCAGCCATTTCTAAGGGGCACCTGTCACATCACAGATAGCGCAGATTTGGAAATCTGTGACAATGATTTCTAGCTGATGGCAGGATGGGGTCTTTTTTCCTGTGAAAAATTACTATTTATATCACTTAAGGGCATCATTTTTTAATTTGCTCAAAGCTTCCCTATGGGCTAATGGTGTTCTTGGAGGCAACTTTTCCACTACCCTCTACTGGCTTGACATCTACTGCCCCAGTGGGAGCCCCGGGCCCCCGCCCTGGCCACGGGCCATACTCACGGGTTGGTCGTGGAGAGGATAAACATAGAGCTGTAGGGGGGCATGGGCTTGGGGCCGTCTTCCCCAGGATCATCTTCCTCCTCCTCCTTCTTCTCTTCCTCCTTTTTTGGCAGTGGGTCTGGGTTGGCGTTTTTGTTCACTGTTGGGAAAGAACCAACACAGGGCTCCCTCCACAATTTCCCATAAGCCTCTGGGCTCCTGTCCACTCCCCAGAGCAGGCAAGCAGCAGCTGACTCTTACCAAGTGCCTGCTGTGTACCAGACACCACCTTATGCCACTGAATCCTCACATGACACTATGAGGTTGGTGCTTTAGGATCCCCATTTTACAGAGGCGGCAACTGAGGCCCAGAGAAGTGATGTGCCTTGCCTGAGGTCACACAGATGGGCTGTGGCAAAGCTGGGTCTTGAACCGGGGCGGCCTGACCCCAGAGCGCCTGCTTACAACGACTCTGCAGCCTTGAGTCCGGTGGGGCTCTCACAGGGTATTAACACAGACCCACCCCCATCCTGCCGGACCTTTGTATGTTGCTTCAGAGGCATGTGGGATGAGGCCCCACGGCTCCACTTTATGGATGGGAATACCGAGCTCTCCCACTGTCAGACTTCAGGGCTTCCCCCCATTAACACCTCTCTCCTGACTGGAGGGGAAGAGCCTCTACCCGCTCGAGCCTTGATTCTGCAGCCTAGCCTCACTAGCCCATGGCGGGCTGAATCCCTATCTGAGCCTCAGCATTTTAATTGGCAAAATGGACACGATGACAAGATCCACCCTGCAGGACTGTGGCAAGCATTTATTGAGCAGACGCATGGGAACTTTTGCACGGGGCAGACACTAGAGGAATTGCACTACTGTTATTTTAGGAAATAAGCAGCTCAGTGGGTCATCTCCAAATTGCGAGTGCTTCTCCAATGCCAACTGTATGTGGGCGGGCAGGGGGGCTCAGAGGGGGCGAAACCTGCTTGTCCCTTGAGGGCCTAGATCTGCACTGCCCAGCACTTGAGATGTGGCTAGTCAAACGGTGATATGCACTAGATTTCTGAGACGCAGGACAAGAAAAAGAATGTAAAATAGCTTGTCAATAATTTTTTTAAGTGTTGGTTACACATGTAAATGGTTAAGTTTGGATATCAATAAATAAACTTTGGGTTAACCGCAATGTATCATTAAAGTTCAGTTCACCTAGTTTGTTTTTACTTTCTAGATCGTTTCTTCCTTCCTCCCTCCTTTCTTGTAATATGGCTACTAGGAAGTTTAAAGTGACGCATGTGGCCCGTGTCATTTCGTTTGGACCGTGCTGGCGTAGCATGCCATTTGACTCTCCCCAACTTGCAGTCACAGGAATCCTCTGCTCCTCAAATATGGCGGCTCCCTGGCTCCCTGTGGGTATTCAGGATGCAGGAAATGCCACCAACCCTACTGAATGTGCACATGTGCCAGGCATTGTATGTATAGTATCTCACTTAAGCCCCATGAGGCAGGAACTACAGCTGTACCCATTTTCCAGAGGCAGAAACTGAGGCCAGAGATGTGGGGGTGGTTCCTGTCCAGGGTCATCCAGCCAAGCCTCCAGTGACTGAGCCCAGGCAGCCCCATTCTCCAGGGACGCTAGGCCCGCCCCAGCTCAGCAGTGGGGTGGAGGGGAGGGTGGGGGCCTCACCTTGGAGGACGGTGTGGTTGACCGGAGGCGGGCAGGCCGGGGGGATGTCCACCGTGGTGTGCTCGGGCTTCCTGGCAGTCTTAGCTGAGTTGGTCTGGGTGCTGCTGGGGTTGGTGACGATAAGGCTGTTCTCGGGGGTCTTGAGGGGGCCCGGGTTGGACGGGTTCCCCGGGTTGTTGGGCATCCGCCGGCTGGCTGTGTTCTGGGGGTTGGTGGCCATGGCAGGTGGGGCCAGCATGGGCCCAGGGTCAGTGCTGTTCCCCATCTTGGCTGGGCTCTGGGGCAGGCCGGTATGGCCAAGGCCAGCGTGGGGACCGGCAGACTCCGCGGTGGCCAGTTTGTTGTTCTTCATGTTGTCGATGTCCTCGGCCAGCGGCGGCTCTTGGCGGCCCAGGTCCTGCTGGATTGGCCGGGTGGTCGACAGGCTGGGGCCCGATCGGGAGACCTGGTTTTCTCTGCGGAAGGCAGGCCGACAGAAAAGAACCCAAAACCGAGTCAGGATAATCGAGGGGCCATTTCCGGATCCTGCCTAACAGTCCACCACACGGGAGCGCCCCTGGGGCACCAGGAGGCCGTGCCCTGGTGCTCCTGGCACTGACAGAGAACCAGGTGGGTTCTTGGTTGGGGATCAAGGCCCTACAGGGGTGCAACTAACCCCCCAGTCCCCAAAATCAGTGCTGCTTCTCCTGCCAGGAGGCTGTTTCTTGGAGGATAGTTGCTCCCTCAGGGAAAAGCCCGACTCTGCCTACTTGACCCCCATTAGCTCCTGAGCATGACAGGGGCGCATGATGCTTTCGGAAGTAGTTAAAATGGATACAGGAGTGGTGGTGGTGGGGTCATGGGGAAGGTAGTCCAGCACAGAGGAGACAAGTAGTGACTCTGTGGCATCTCACTACGCTGACGGACAGTGACTACAGTGGGGTATGGGGGGAACTCGATAATATGGGTGAATGTAGTAACCACATTGTCTTTTTATGTGAAACCTTCATAAGAGTATATATCAATGATACCTTAATAATAAAAAGAAACAACGGATACAGGAATGCCATCTCTTTAGGTGGCCTTAAATGCCTGTACTATTTATGCCCCCACCAAGTATTTCAGATAGGGGAAGTGGGCATGCGCACACGTAAACATAATAAGGCTCTCAGGTGCTGTTCTAAGTGCCTGGCTTGTCACAACCCAGCCATCTGCAGCCCCTAGAGGGACAACTGCCAGCACCATTTTACAGATGAGAAAACTGAAGTTCAGAGAGGTTAAATCTCTTGCCTAAAGCCACATGGCTGGTAAATGAACAAGATGATTTTCAGAAGGATACAAGTGCAGTGGGCAAAGCATTCCAGGCAGAGGGAACAGCCAGGGCAAAGGCCCTGGGGTGGGGACACGCTTGTTGAGTGGGGCTGGAGGTGGAGCTGGGGAGATGAGGTGGGTAGGAGTTTGATGCCTCAGTTACCCAAATAATTAACACCACGCAGATGGGCATGAGGAGAAAGTGGGTGGTCAGTGTACTGGGGAGAAGGGAGAAAAACATGAAGGGTCCTCGCTGAGCTTTTTCTGCCCCAGCGCGCGCCCAGGCATTAGCTTGGTGAGGGAGGGTATCTATTTTTGTCCCTCTAGTTCACAGCTGTGATTGCAGCACCCAGAACAGGGCCTGGCATATGGCAAATGCTTGGTCACTTCTTGTCAATTGATCGACACTTGCCCCCATTTTTCAGATGAGGACAGTGAGGCCCAGGAGAAAGTCCTACACGCACTGACTGCCCATCCACCCCTGCCTCCTCCTATCTGCACACACTTTGCTCGGTTTGCACTGAACCCCTTCTGCACCCTGGATTCTCAGACAGGGGCCCTGTCTTCCCCCAGTCCCTGGATCCCGGCCATGACAAAGCCCATTTCCCAGAAGCACCCCGATAGCTAGCATTGGCAATCTCAACGGCTCCTCTCTGCAGAGCTCTCAGCAGCGCAAACTTCTTCCTCAGCTTAAAGGCAGCCTCGTGTTCTGCTTCCTCTGCCCTCTTCTTCTCCTAAGAACTTGCATTTATTGAGCACCTGCTGCCCAACAGAGTTCACAAGTTTCAGCTCATCTAATCCTCAGGACAACCGTGCGATGCGGGTAGGACTGCTGTCCCCACTTTACAGAGGAGGAAACCGAGGTCCACAGCCAGGAGGGGCCCTACCTGAGGCCGCATGGCCAGTCGGGGGGCAGAACCAGCTCGGAGACTGCACACTGAGGTCCCAGTGCCTGTACTGCTTACCCCACCCCCTGACGCTGCACCCCTCTCACCAGGCAGCCTGATCTCGCAGCAGGCTCAGCCCACGGCTGGTGGGTGCAGGGATCTGTGGGGCTCTCTGGAACGGCCCCCAGTGTGAGGCCCCCTCTGGCTAATCCCAATTCATTAACTTCTCCAACAACCTTTTAAGGCAGGATCGTGACTGTTCCCATTGTATACAGATCAGGAAACTGAAGCCCGGGGAAGCTGAATCACACTAGGACATGGTTTTGTCACGTTGTTGCCATCACACACTCACTCAAGACACTAGAAGCAAGCAAAAGGTGGCACTCAGATTGTACCTGGGCCATGAGATGCGGTCCCAGGTACCCGAAGCCTCTGGGCAGTACAGGCCTGGCTCCCCATATCCAATCTGGAACCCTAAATCTACCTCATGCTTAAAAAAAAAAAAAAAAGTCAGCCTCCCCCAAAGGGCTTCCCACTGGCTAAGCTGCCGGCACCATCTTCCACAATTTATTTTTGCATTTTAACTTGAAAAAGTCCACAGTGTTGTTTGTAAGTGACAGAGAGACAAGGTTATTTAGTTTCAGATTAGTCTCTCTGAGGCCACACAGGCCCAGGTGAATTTCTCAAAAAGGCAAGGGGGTCATAGATTGACACTTTAGAAGACAGACTGACCTGGGTGGGAGTCTCAGCAATGCCACATACTAGCTGTGTGACCCTCTGCAGTTTGACAAACTTCTCTGAGCCTCAGGTCTCTTATTTTTAAATTGGAGGTGACAGCAGAACCTTCCTTATAACATGGAGACTACAGTGAAACTCCAAATCTTGGAGCTGATTTGCTATGTAACCCCTGGCGGGTTACTCAGCCTATTTCTCACTCAGAACATGGGCCTGGTCAGCCCACTGTGACCGTGGGCTGCCGGGAGGAATACATGTGTTCTGCCCTCAGGGCTACAGAACTACTCCTGGACCTTGAAACCTAGTGGGATTTTCCTCCAAAAATGGATTTAGAACTTGCTTGGGACCCCTGACCCTTTATCCTTCCTGATTTCTCCTTTTTGGAAGTGGAATATATATCCTGTGTGTTGTATCTATAAACTACACCATTTATTTTCTAGACAGTCACTTCTTATCAATTGATCAACACTTGCCCCCAATTTTCAGATGAGGACACTGAGGCCCAGGAGAGAGGTCCTGGGTTTCTGGGTCCACAGGTAGAGGGGGATTTTGGCCCCAAATAGATTATTCCCAGAGTCTCAGACTTAGATGATGGGATTTCAGGTCTTTGAGTTGATGCTGTACTGGGTTAAGACTTGGGGAGCCGGGATGGGGTGAATATTTTTTGCACATGGGCTGGATGTGAGGTGGTGGTGGTGGGGGTCAGAGGGTGAGCTGTATTGAGCTGAATGCCTTCAAAAGACATGTCTATGTATAACCTTGGGATGATCATCCTAGATTAGGGAAGGCCCTGAATCTAAGGACAAGGGTCCTTAGAAGGGAAGTGGCAAAGACACGTAGAGGTCAAGGCCATATGAAGACAGAGGGGGAGACTGCAATGACTTCTCAGCCAGGGAGCGCTGAACGCCCAGGACTGCCAGCAGCCCTCGGATATTAATACCCTGCCCAGACAGTGAGCGTCAGCTGCCACGGTGCGGATGAAGGAAATACATTCTAAACTAGTATTTCCCAGTGTTTTTGCACAGCCCCCAAATAGGTTCTCCTAAAGCCACCACTGGCTGCTGCTTTAGAAATTGTACCCCAAATGAAAATCTGGCTGGGGATATTTCTGCATCGTTTTTATATGTGTATGTTTGCAATAGATATCCCTATCAAAAGCAGGCTTGGTTAACTTACCATTTCAAAGAGAACCAACATCCTCTGGCCACCATCTAAAGAGGTTGTACTAAATAATACAGCAGTGGACACCATGCTGAAACTTGTGGGGACATTTCATTAGAGGGACAGCCTCGTGCAAGGGACTGAGTCCCTCATTTGGATAGAAAGGGGACCTGCAGATTTTTGTTTTGTTTTGTTTTTTCTTCCTCTGTTGGCTCTGTTTGTTGGCGGATTTTTAACAAGCTCAGCCCCAGCTGGCCTAATACCAATCTCCGGGAAGGGAAGTTGCATTTCCAAGCGTCTCTAAGGAGAACTCAAAAGGGGCCGAAAACTTTGAAGTCAGTCCCCCTCCCCCTTCCCTCTTGGGCATCAGCCATCAGCTGCCCGGAAGAGGCAGCCCGCTGCAGCTGCATAATGCCTGCGCTGATTCCGTTTGCCAGATAATCACTTTGGCGGCCCTCTGCCAAAGGCTGTGGGCACCTTAGCTGGGGCACTCGGGCGTCTCAGTCCAGAGGACGGCCCCACTTCCTCGCGCCACCACTGTCCCACACACATACGGGTATCGACTCCCTTACAACGACTATCACCGCCGTTGGAGGTGGTATCTGGTTCAGGCCTATTTTACAGACAAGAAACTGAGGCCTGGGGAGGCAAAGAAATTTGCCTATGTTACATCGCTGGGAAGGGGCGGAGCTAGAGATTTTAGATGATAGAGCCACGCAGTAAAGGAAACGGGTCAATGGATGAATTGGGAGGCATGGAACAGGGGTGCTGGAGAGACTCCCTTTGGGGGTGCTGCAAAAACCAGGGTGTTCAAGGGTGAAGCACCCTCTCACCCTGACCCCAAGCAGGATACACTGAGGCTCAGAAGCTCAGCATCTCTCTTCTTGCTCCTTTTGGGGAGCATGTTGTTATGGTGATAGGAGCAGGTGGAACTAGGAAGCAAAGAGCCAAGATATTAATTCCAGGGGGGGTGGGTATAGGTCTCAGCAAAAGCTCCCCTGGCTCAGCTGAGTCTAGCAGGGGGCACTGCCTGGCTATCGGGGAGCAGCAGATGCCCTATGACCCCCAGCTTTTCTACTGGGAGTCAAGGAAAATGCCATTTTCTCTTTGGCCGCCCTGGGTGAGGGTCTGGGCTGAGCACCTATGGAATGCCGTGACGTAGAATGTGTTTCTGGCCGTTTTCCACTGGGCAGAGCCAGTGAAAGCTTAGGGGAGGGGGCATGTAAGCTGGTGGAATTGAAGAGGAAGACAGGAAAGCAGAAGTGGGGAGAAGACAGAGGGAACAGAATGAAAAAAATATATATATGTAATTATCAGTATTTTGGAGAATGGAAAACACACAGCATGTCTGGAATGCAGGAAGCAGACCCCTTTGGTAGGGCCACTGGCTTCACTGTAACAGAAACGAGATGTCTTTTTAGTATGTTATATTCTTGAATAAAGTTTTATCTTTACCATTCCTTTTTTTTTTTTTTAAGCAGATGAATGGCTCATCTTGTATTCATTTCCAACAAGCACTAGGACCTTTTTATCAGCCAAATGAGTGACGTCTCGCCTGAGCAGGGCGTCGACATGTTGACTGATACGGGGTGAGCAGTGAGTGCCCTCCTGGTGCAGATCTGGGACATGGGGAGCAGGCTCCTCCTCCAGAGGGGAGGAGGAGCAGGGGCCACCTCAGGGGTTCGGGAAAGCTGGGGTCTTAACACATTTCTGCTGTCCGCTGGCTGTGCTTGGGGAAACCCTTCCCTGCTCTGTGCCTCAGTTTCCCCATCTGTAAAAAGGAGGAGTTGGATCTAAAGGCTGTGGATCTAAAGTCGTATTTTTAAACAAAACAAATAACAAACTAATCAGAAACAGACTCATAAAGGCAGAGAATGGACAGGTTGTTGCCACAGGGGAGGGGGCCGAGGGGCTGGGCAAAATAGGTGAAGGGGAAAAAGAGGTGAAAACTTCCAATTACAAAATAGACTAGTCAGGGGGATGGAAGTACAGCATAGGGAATATAGCCCATAAAATTGCCATTTTTTTGCACATTGACAGATGGGAACCACACATACCGTGGTGGGTATTTCGTAATGTATGTAATAGTTGAATCACTATGTTATACACCTCAGTCCAACATAATATTGTATTTATCAACTAAACTTCAAGGAAAAAGGAAAAAATTATAAAGTTGTTTTTGTCTATCGATGAATCTTAATAGTAATAATGATAATAGTAGTAACAGCTAATACTTATTGAGTGCTTACTAATACTAAAAAGTTAACATTTATTGAGGATGCAATATTAATAATAGGCAACATTTATCGAGCACTTATTATGAGCCGGGCACTATTAGAGCATTCTACGTGTATTAACTCATTTGAACCTCACGCCTGCCGTAGGAGGTCAGCATTGTTCTTATCCCCATTTTTCAGATGAGGAAAGGGCAGCCCAGAGAAGGGAAGTGACATGCTGTCAGTCACACAGAAGGGAAGTGATGGAGCAGGAGTGTGGCCTCTGGATTTGGGGTTATTGCCCGTCACCACCAGGCTGTGCTGACATTCTGTCCCTGTCATTTGGTCTCTTTCAATGACCGGGGTAGATATAATAACAAGGATGATAACAATCATTTTTATCACTGGTAGCAGTAATAAGAGCAACTGTCAATCATTGAATCATGTGCCAAACATTTTATGCCACCTAAAAATCCCTTTGGTGGCCTCCCATTGCCTTGACAGGACCCAAGGGCCCTGCTGACCCATCCTTGTCCCTTTTCGTGGTCTGCCACTCTCTCACCCTCCAAACTGCAAACTGGCTTTCTGGGCCACCTCAGGGCCTTTGCACACACTCTTCTTAACCTACAGCACTCCCTTCCTTTCTTGCATTGATGTTTTCGGAAGCCTGTCCTGGGCTGGGCAGTTTCTTGGTCTTATTTCTCAGAGTGCCCCAGATCAGGTCTAGCATGCTTGTCCCCTGAAGTTACTTGACTGAACCCCCAGCACCAGCATAGACTACAGTAGGCAGTTAGTAAACACTGATGGAATGAGTGGAGAACCCATAAGAGAAGACCCCCTAGTAGAAATGACCTGGAACAACAGGGTTCAGGGGGCTCTTGTTTCAGGAGACATGTGGAGACCTAATGACATAATAATTGTGGGCTTTGTGGACATTTAGGAAACGGAAGGCAGGTATATTAAATACCCTACTATGTGCAGGGTAGTCCCATCCTTTCTCCTTCATGACATTCTGTCCCTTGTACAGGTGAAGAATCTGCTAGTGACAGTCTGCACCTTTAGTTTTAACCTAACTCTGTTACAACATAAAATACTTTTTGCACATTTTAAAATATATAGTGCATTTTCCCAGAATGCAACTATTGGACAAATTTTAAAGGAAGACTGGGCTCTATTTTTGTAAGGAGCTTCACCAAGAGGTGTTCCCCATTTTGGGACATCTCAACCCAGATGGCAACTCCCTCCTGTCGTGTGAGCTGCCCACACAACCCTGAGTCAGCTGGCATCTGTACCTGTCGCATTCTCAGTGATTTTGTGTAGACCAGCCTGCCTCAGAATCACTTCACTCTGTCCTCTAGAATCTTATTACTCAAAGTGTGGTGCCTGGACCAGCCTTGGCCTCCTCTGAGAGTTTCTTAGAAATGCAGAATTTCAGGCTGCATCTGAGACCTATTGAGTTAGAATCTGTATTTCAACAAGATACCCAGGGATATTTCGAGAAGTGCTGGCCCAGAGCCTATGCCATGTAACAGAATCACTTAAACACATCACTAAAAAACCAATATGATACCTTACTGGTGATATAAAATAAGGTTGAGAGGACATCAGTTAACAAAAGAACAATGTCTGTTTCAACATGTAAGTTGTTAGGCTGCTATATGCAGAATCACATTAGGATCCTCTAAAGCATGTTACAAAATATGGTTATGAAAAAGAGAATTCTGCTTCCAACTGGGTAAGGTGCTGGCCTGGAACATGCCTCAAAAGCCTTGAACTCTGCTTTTCCTTCAAATTGAGGGCCCAGAGTAGCTTCTCAAATCCCCCAGGATTTAATAAGCCGAAGGGGGCCTCAAGCACAGCTAAAAATGGTCTAAATTTACAGAACACTTAATGTGTTAGTTGCTTTTTCAGGCCTTTTGCATGTATTACATCATTTAATTCCAGCAATGACAAAATTAGATCCCATTATCCACATTTTACAGATTAAGAAAACAGGCCCAGAGACATGGAGCCGCTTGCCCAAGGTCACACAGCAAGCCACAGAAGAGCTGTATAATTCTGGGGGAGAGTTCAGGATGTTAGCGTTTCTTTAAGATGCACAAGGGTGTGATGATCTGCCTGCAGCCTCTGGCACCAGATGGCCTGGGTTCAAGGCCACTTATTAGATGTGTGACTTGGGCAAGTCACGCCACCTCTCCATTTCTCCGTCTGTGAAATATGGCTATGACGGTGGGATCTATCTGGGTTGGGGGGGCGGTTGTCAAGGTCAAAGGCGCTGCTCAGGATAGGATCGGGTATATAGGAGCTGCCACTTCGGGTGTTACTATTACTGCTGCTATTGTCGGGGCCGGGTCTGAAGTCACCGCCACTTACTTCCTCCTCCGGTGCCTGTGTTCCTTGTCGTCCCTCCGCGCGTCCGCGTCACACGTGGCGGGAGGCCCGTGCCGGTGCCGCCGCCTCCGCTCGCCGCCGTCGGGCCCGTCGCCCTCGCCCTCGCCGCCTCGGGCCGGCCGGCTGCCCTCGCGGTGCCGGGCCCGCCGCTCGGCCCTGTCCTCGGGGCCCTCGTCGGCCGGCCTGCGGTGGGCGCGGTGCCGGCGGGGCTCCCCGTCTGCCCCCGCGCGGGGCGAGCCGCCCGCCGGCCGGGGCGCGTGCCTCCGGCGGGGATCCCCGGCCTCGGCCCGCTCGGCCTCGCCCTCCCAGGGCCGCGGCTGCTCCAGGCCGCCCTCATGGGCGCGGGGGTCCGACTCGCGGCCGTACGGCCCCTCCCGGCCCGGCTCGGCCTCCGGGCTGCCCGCCCAGGGCCTCCGGGCGTCCGGGCCCCCAGCGCCGCAGGCGTCCCGCGCCCGCTCGCGGTAGCGCGCCGGTTTCCGCAGCACGTCCTCCACCCGCTGCTGCCCGAGACGCTGCTCCGCCGCGGACTCGGCCGCCCGGCTCTTGTTGGTGTTGTTGTTGCGGTTCTCCTGGGGGTCGACCACCAGCGGCCGGTCCAGGTGGGTCTTCATATCAGGCCGCAGGTGCCGTGCGTACGAAGCCTTCCAGCGCTCTTCGGGGTCCATCTCGGGGTACAGGGCCTCCCGGCTGGCCAGCAGGTTCTGCTTCCGCATCTCGCTCGCCCGCTGCTCCCACACGGACTTGGTGGGCTTCTGGTTCCTCAGTTGCTCCTTGCTGCAAGGGAAGGGCGCGGGGCTCAGGGCGCTGTTGGCGCCCTGTGCCCCGCGCGGACCCCCCGGTGGACATCTCTGCCTGGGTGGTCTCAGCCCAGGTCGGCATCTCCACCCCCACGGTCCTGGCTCACGTGGACACTGCCAACTAGGTGGTAACTCCACCCAGGTGGACATCCTCACCAGGTACATGTTTTGGCCCAGGTGAGTGCCCTTTGCCCAGCTAAACATCTCAGCCCGGCTGGGTGTTTTGGTCTAATCAGGGTCTCGGCCTAGGTGGGTGTCTCCGCAGTCCTCCTCTTCAAATGGTAGCACATGATCTCCTGGGGGCGGCCTTGATGTCCAAACTATTTTAACCTCAGAGATGGCCAATCATAATAGACACCTGCCTGGAGCAGGTTCAGAAGCCCCCATGGTGCCTGCGTGACCCTGTAGTTCTGGGTCATGCCAGGGTGGATACTTGGGAGTGGATACTTGGGAGTGGCAGAGCAGTGACTATACACGCACTGGTGCAAAGCAGCCAGAAGGCCTGCTGCCAGGAGTGCTGGCCGGGGTGCAGCCCTGCGCGGGGCATACAGATTTTTCCAGAGGTGCTGTGTGCATTGATCGTTTGTTATAGACCATCACCTTCCACAGGCTGCTCTCCTAAACTTGCCTGCCTCAGCATATGACCTCCTGGGATCCCCTTTCACAGCCACCTCTTTCCACTTTGGCAAAGAATGCCCCCTCCCCATTGTCCCATAATGCACTGCACCAGTGTGTAAAATTCAGAGTATCACTGTCAATGAATCTCCATTTAATCAAGACACCTTAATGCTACCACCTCATCACGTCTGATCTACCAGCAACCATCTGCTCTGCACTTAGAATTCAGGTATGTCCCTCACTCCCTTGGCTACAACCCCAATCCAATCCTCACTCTCTCTTTTGCGTGGACCAAATGCGGTCTTCTGCAGTCTGGTCTCCTGGCTCACACTCATGCCCCTCAGTCTATCCTTCTGCCAGCAGCCAGAGGGCACCTGTGAGCACCTGAGCCAGGTCCTTTCCTCCTTTACTCAAGAATACTCCATGGCTCCCACCTGACTCACAGCAAAAATCTGTCATCCTCATAGTCCACAAGGCCTTGCACAATCTGCCTGTCACCTCTCTGTCCTCACTTCCTCCCACTGTGCCCCCTCTCTCACTCTACCTCAGTCACAATTGCCTCCTTTATGTTCCCTAAAGAAATCAGGCCCATTCCTGCCTCAGGGCCTTTGTATATGCTGTTCCTGCTGTATGGAATGCTCTTCCCTCAGATCACCCCACAGTTCCTCCCTCATCTCCTTCAGGCCTTATCAGCAAGGCCTTCACCAACAGCTTTAATTAAAATTGTAACTCTTCCTAGCACTCCCTATACCTCTTAACCTCTTGCTATGCTATATCCCCAGCAGCTTGTACAGTGTTAGGTGCTTATCAACTATTTATTGCATAAAAAATGGGTAGGAAGGCAGCAGTACCTCTTCCTAAAGCTCAACCCTGTCAGGGACTACTCTCTGCCCCCAAACTGTTAACTGGAAGTTTGCAGATTCCCAGATAGCATCCCAAGGTTGGGGGAACTTACACAGCTATTGACATGTTGGCTGCGGACAAAGGACTCACTTCGGCCACCTCCTTGGCTTTCTGTAGAGCAAGTTTCTGGTTGGCTGCCTCTTCTTCTTCTTGTTCATCCTAAAAGGCACATGGGATACCTGTTCACAAAACATGAACTGGGCCTCGGAGCCTTGCCCCTGACCCTACTGCTGATGAGGGGTGACATCTGAAATATTTACAAATAGGTTTCGTCTGGGTGTCGACCAATCAGAGCCACAGCTGTGATCAGAATGGAGGCCCAATGTCAGTTAAGTGTACCGCTATCCCCTTTGTGTACATGTGCAATATCCAGCCCATTATTTTTAAGCACACAGCCAGAAGAAAACAACAACAACAAAAAGACTCCCTTTCCTTCCCACAATGGAGATTTTTCTGCACCGTCACAATAAGCTGGGAATGAATGCAAAGATTTTCTTCTCATTCTACTTTCCAGGCTGTTTAAACTCTCTGAACCAAGCTTTTTAAAAAACACAGATGAGCCCCCATGTGCAGAAAAATCTGGTATCCCATGGCCCATCCCATGCACTGCCAACAGCCTCCAGAAGAGGAATCAGGGGAGGAACTTATATTTTCAACCAGTTAGGTTCAGAGAGAAGGAGAATAGGGGAAGATATTTTAAAAATACATACAGAAAAAGACGTTTTGGGGCTTTAAATCCTTCTTCAGCCGTCATGCAGGGCCTCATTTGTAAAACAGAAAAGCCAACAAAGAAAAAAGCAACAAGACAGACATAGCCAGAGACTACACCATGAATAAGAAAAGTCATGCAGTGGCAGGGCACCTTTCCCACCTCGCTGGCACCTCCGGGGTAAGAAGCAACCTTATCACCTCGGAAATGGTCAGATCAGGACACTGTCAGTAACAAGTCAGAGGTGGCACCCGGCCAGCCGCCCTGCTCTCACAAGGCCTCCCCTCCTGGTATTGTACCGAGAATTTCTCAGAGTTCGGTCTCTGGATTACCTGCCTCAGGAATGCTACGAATGCAGACTCCTAGGCCCCCGAAGACACTGGGATGGGCCCTGGCATCTGAATTTCCAACAAGCTTTCAGGTAAGTATGAAACACACTGGGGTTTGAGCAATGGTGCATAGAAGCCTAAGTTCTAGACCCATCTGGATTCAGATCCCGGCTCCTCTCCTTATTGCTTACCTTGGCTTGGACAAGTCACTTAACTTCTCCGTGTCTCAAAATCCTCAGCTAAAGTTTCAACCCTCCCCCACTTTCCCAACTTCCCAACTGACAAATTTATTTCTCATAAATCTCTCCCACTTGAAAATCAGCCCTATGAGGGCAGGGATTTCTGCCTGCTTTGTTCACTACTGTGTCCCCGGCTCTTAGACTGGCCTTTCTCCCTCCCCTTCTGCCATCCCCCAGGCATACCCTCTTCCCCATGATAGTCCCCAGGGATGAGCTCTTGGAACTTGGCTAAGTTCATGGCTGGATCAGCCCCCCACAGTACCCATTCCAGCCAGCTCCACAGTGGCTAGGCTCGTGGCCGTTTGCTTGGGGTGGCGGAGACTTCCGTTTCCACCCAGGTGGAGCTGGGCACAGGCAACTCATTCTCCCTCCTGCCAGGACCAGCAGATGGAGGGTTGGCAGCACCTGCTCAGTTCGGTTCAGTTCCATGAACACGTCCTGAGTACCTTGAGGCACTGGGGTTGGGGCCATGAAGGTAAGGGAGGTCCCAGGCCTGGCCTGCTCTGGCTGAAAAGAAGATTTCACATGTGTTCTCTTAATGTGATGGGGCTTTTGGGGAAAGGCTTAGGCTGGACCACGGCTAGTTCCTAAGTTGCCTTTGTTCCTA